TGCTTTTGCTTGCCGAGTGTCACAGGACTTCCTTCTCTGTTGCCAGTCTCTAACCATTTGATTTCTTTTCTGCAGAAGCCTGTTCTCACTGCTTCAGGAGCTGCTCTGTGTGGCCAAGCAACAGGGCAGTGATGACAGCAAATAATGAACACCAAAATTTCTAATATTGGCAACTTTATAGTTGCATCAAATACATTACAAAAACACAGCATAGGCATCACCACAGAAACCTCTACATTCCTCTTACTTATAGCAAGTGACAATAGGGTTAATTCTTTGTTAAAATGCAGGTGACTACATTTATTTGCAGCTTCATTGTGATTCTGATGGTAAAAGAAAAATGTAGTCCCCCACATTTGTTAATTTGCTACTGTGATCAGCCTCACTGACTTTAGTGCAATTACTGAGAGTAATAAATCCAAGCCCACGGCACAGAAAGGAATTTTTAACACAAGGCAGCAGCAAAGACTTCTTTAGCCTCACACAGACTTTTTCCTCCCATTTTATAAATGCCATACGACACATTTTCTTAGACTAAAAAGGCATTTATTATAACAGGTTTATAAATGTTTTTGTCTGTCACCATCAAATAGCTAACAAGGCTCACTTGAACACGAACATTTAGTATAAAACAGATGTTACAAAGCAGTATTTTAGGGCATGCACTGATTGTAAAGTAATCCCATAGGTCACCATAATTTCATTATGTATTCATTCAGTGTTATTTTTCTGAAAAGACTAGTGCTTAAATACAAAGAAGTTTGATGGTTACTTCTGGACTGGAAAACCCCAGTTCTGCACTCCTACCCAACCAGATGCTCATTGACTTCACATGAATGCTAGGTACTGGCATACAGAACTGAGCCTAGCATAAAGAATGTAGATCACCACTTAACACTATAGTTACAAGTTGCCTATTTGTATGTTTTATCTATGCATTAGTCTTGAGAATGCTAACAGATAGATAAAGATAGAGATGACATTTCAGGTTCAACCATGAAACTTCTTGTAATACAAAACAAGTGGCAAGAGTTAACATAGTTATGACAGTCTGCTTACTTGCAAAGAAGTTAAAGCAAACTCAGAATATATTAATCAGAAATACCAAGGCATACCAGGCATCTCTTTTAACCAAAACAGAACTCATGATGCTTCAAATATGCTAACAAAAGTGTATTTGCCTACATAAAGCATGGGGACATCACACACAAGTATTAGGGTCCCACCATTTCATTTTTCTAATGAGCTAATCAGTTTAGAATTTCATCTTCGGCTCTCTGTGTCAAGACTTGAATGACAGATACTTCCAGCTTTAGAGAAGATCTCTTGTGGCAGTTTTTTCTATTTCAGTGTTTATTACTTGTTTCAGATCACTGAAAACAACTAAAAAGAAATGACTGCTTTATACATGAGTAGTCCAGTATTTCAGAAACAGATACTATATTTGGGGTTTCAATACTAAAATATTTTTCCGCCTAGATTTAAATATGATATTTGTGCTTCCTTTCCTATTATACTAATACTCTACATGGCAATATTTTCTTGACTTATCAAACTTATCCTTTTTTCATCTTGTTTGGGGAAAAAATTAAAAAATAATACTGTAAAAAGACTAATGTGAGGCTTCATTTTGTACCCAAGAAAGTGACAGGTTAGCATATAAAACCCACAAACATAATACTGTAGCAGGTAACTTCTCAGCTTTCTATATATCTATTCTGCCTCCCGCAAAATCACCTAGGAGTCAGGGAACATATAGATTTGTGTTTTGTCTTCTTTTGTTTCCAAAGAGGAGTCTATCCTTTTGGTTTTAAACTCTCTTGCATAATTCTCAGAGTTACACACACATAAATACCTTCAGCAAAACTGCATTACCCACGAATTGATTCTGGGAAGTATATTTTTTATTAAGCTTTGCAGATTACTGTTATGAGAAATCAGCAAGAATATTTTTATTCCTTGGCATACAACTCAAGTTTCGTTATTTAGTCTTCTACTAATACCATCTTATGAAATTGAGCTGAATGATGTCAAGCTTAAAGGGGAGATGTGAAAATAAATCAGGCAAAACGCTGCAATCACTACTTGGCATAAGATATTCACTGCCCTGTGCAGGCATTGGAGCCATAAAAGATTGGCACCTGCCTGGCACTTTTGAAAATCCAATTACTTGTTTAAAAGTGTAAACATAGATTTGAGTAAATATCATTTAGAAACAGCTCAGAGAAGAGCTGCTACCAAGTAATTCTTCAACTCTCTAAAGAGCACAGCTTCGCAGAAAGTTTAAGAGCACCACATGAAAGTTCACCTTGTATGGACATTCCTAAACAGCCTCTAATTGCAGATCAAAACAAGCCTACACAGAGCAGCAGCTGTTCTAAAATACAGGCTGTGAAGGCCTGCACGTATCCCAACCTCACATCGGTTTAAAAGAACATTCCTATTTAGATAAGAACTGCAGAAGCAGGGTAAAAGCAACAGTTGTGAATGACTGTGCAGCTGGTCAGGGAAAGTTCCAATTGGCTATTAGGAGAGGGTGGTTGGTCACTGGCACAGGCTCCCCAGGAAAGTGGTCACACCACCAAGCCTGTCAGAGTTCAAGGAGTGTCAATGATGCTCTTAATCACATGGGTTAGTTTTAGGCAGTCCTGCATGGAGCAGGGAGTGGGACTAAATGATCATTATGGGTCCCTTCAAGCTTGAGATAATCTGTAAGTGCAATTCAAACTATTTGGCAATCCAAGAGGAAAAAAAATCTGCCCCTTTCCTTACAGCAGATTCATTGCTATTGCCAAGTCAAGTCACAGATTTTCAAAGCAAGTAATGTCTTTTAAGACTGCTTTTTCACACCTATCAACTCCACAAGCTGCACACATCCTCCCTGACATTTCAAAATTGCACTGGTTTTGCCTCACTATCTGAGCCCAAATTAGATAAGTTAAATAACCAAGTTCAAGCATACATAATTTTACCAAACCTATTGTAAAAATCAAAGGAATAAAATGAAAAATACCAAAGTGATTATTTCATACTAATAAGATAGGTTTAGAAAAGGAAGGTTTACCTAGAACTTACTCTCTATCTGCAAAAAATCAGATACCTTGACATATAAATTCCACAGAAATAGCTACAGAAAAAATAAAATTAAAAAAAAAAAAAAAGTGAAAAGTTGACATATGGTTAAAAAAATAGGTATTTTTTAATTATTTTTTTTTACTCAGGAAATTGAGATCTTCTTTAAAACCTTCCAGTTTGATCCATGTCTGTGCTGGGCAGGCTGTGGGAGTGCTGTACTAAATCCTAACGCACTGCTACAGAAATAGCAATAATGAAAATTTAACTAGAGAAGATAGATACTGAACAACAACAGCTGTTAAGAAAAAGATTTATAGCTCCCATCTTTTGACACTCAGACTGCTGTGAGAAGTGTGTAAAATAACCAGTGAGCAGGTACTTCCCACAGCACCTGACTGCCACTACTGCCTATGGGTTCTGGGCAGGCTTCTGCCATGTAAACTCATGCAAAAATAGGAAGTGTGTCCAAACCATTAGCCCTTCCTTGTCGTTCAGCCTTACTATCAGTCTCTCCACTCTTCTGTCTCATATTATTTGAGGTCACCAAATAATGCTACCTCTCTGTGTAGCACTCAGACTCCTTTGCCCATTCCTTACACACTGTGGAGCTAGGGTTGAAACAGGATGCCAATTCATGCAAAGTTATGCACAGCTTCATGAAGCACTGAAACAACTGTAGTGTTTAAATGTGTTTCCACTTCTATCATAAATCTAAGGCTCTATACAAAGTTATGCTTTGTATAAAATACTGGTACTTTCACAGTAGGTATCTCTGAAAATAAGTGTTATTAGAACTTTCGTAATTCTGCAAAACGCACATTTCCTTTTCCTAAAGGTATTACCCAATACTTTTCCTTTGGAAAACTGTTTGGAAATGTTAAAAAATGTTGCAACACATCAGTGTGGTGAAACAGCAAAAGCAGAGTTACAAAGTGTAATTTAAATGCTAATTAAGGTTATGAAGTTGGCACATAGATTTTAATTCTTCCTCTAGAGTATGGCACATGCAAACTTCCAGTGAACACAGAAGAGATCAGAAAGACAAGACAGAGGGTCTACTGTCTAAAAGGAGAGTAACTTGCTTCTTTGTAAATGTCTGATGTATTGGAGGGATTACAAAGTAAGGAGAAGACGGCAAAAAAAGTAGGGAGACCTCTGTCTTCCCTTAGGTTTATAGCAGTCATTTATTTACAGACAACTGGAGTATCATCAACACAAATTTCTAACTGTGACCTGGATAATCATCAAGACAGCTGTGTGTCAGTCTTCTTTACCCACTAATTCCTCTTCACAGCTGGGCTGACTTCTCACTATTACCTCACTAAATAACAGAAGGCATATGCAGAAACAGGGACAGGACACAAGTTACTGACAAGGAGCAAGGTACTCACTCGCAATAAGAACACCATCCACAGTTTGGCAAAAGAATCATAGAATGGGTTGAGTTGGAAGAGGCCTTAAAGATCATTTAGTTCCAACTAGCTCTTCTTCTTGGTTCAGACCCAATATGGTGTCCCAAGCAAGCTTCAAGTCCACTGTCTGGAGGGCTTGCTGATGTAGACCATGCTCCAGTTATTCTCTAATCACTGTGCTGAAGACTGTAAGACTCGGTGCCAAACACAGCTTTGACAACTTTTAACCCAATCTGCATGTTTCCTCAGATTATGGAGGCCACAAGTGTTTATTTTCTTTCTATCCAAGTGATGCAAAGCTAATCAGAAGGGACAAGAAGGCCACATCGAGATTTCAAACTTTTCTCATCTCAGTATGTTCCCTTTCAAAACCAGAGCACTCCCTTTACAGCAATGGAATTTTGAAGCAAGCATCACCCTGTATCCAATGACATTATCAAATCAGCTATAAAATCAAATCAAACCATTATCAGGCTTTTTTTTTTTTTTTTTATTTGGGGGGCTAGGGCAAACGGGGAGGAAAAAGCAGGGGATCAAATAGTGTCTAGGAGTATCTCACCTATACATAAAATTGCACACAGTTATTTGATTGCAGCAAAGAAAAAAATTACTTTCTGAAAGCCTGACCTCTCCACTTATTATTCTTTCTTTCCTATCCTACTTATCAATGTAATTTCAGGCCTAGCTTAGTATTTGTAGCAGGGTACCAGTTAGACACTACAGTCAAAATACAAGGTCCCTTTGCAATAGGCACTGTCACAAATATAAGCACCTAATTTCAGCTCCAAGTAATGTACAGACTTTAAGTATAAAACATTCTAGACAAGATGGACAGAGAGAGCAGAGGATGATAATACAGTTAATGTAACAAGCAATGGGCACAACTGAATTTAGCTGTGCATGGAAAGAACCTATTAGAGGATGTTAATTAATATCTTGTGGTCTCCGCCAGTATTGTCTTTCTTATTAATAATCAAAAGTGAGTTTCAAAAGGACACCATACTCTAAATATGCACTTTCAAAACTCTATGCTTCTGTATTAGGTCACCCTGCAGCAAGTAATTCTCAAAATAAAAAGAGCATATTGCTAAAGCGCTTAACAGCTGCTTGCTAGTAGTCACCATAAAAAACCTAAAACCTATTTGATTTGGAGAAGGAAACGTCTGCCTCCTTTTCCAGAAGTGGCCTTTCCCTCTACTTTATATTGGTAACTGTTAATTAGAAAAAACAAAAAAATATTTGAAATGTAATAATCACGTCAAAATTACTTTTAGGGAAGTTACTTTATAGTAACTTTCTATAACAGAGACAAATCCTGGGTTTCAATACTGAAAAGAAAAAAATCCACCCAAACATATGAAAACCAAAACACCTTCCATGACGTTACTATGCCCACTCAAGACTTAACAAATATCATACAAAATTAAATAGTATTGAGTTAAAACCTTTTCATTTCTTGTATGCCTTTTTCTTTTCATACTTTTTCTGAACTAGAAATTTCTACCTTCTTCATTTATCAACTTGAATATCATATTCCTGCTTTTCCTACTCGGAAGATCAACTCTCAGAAACTCAGTTCTAAACTCAACCATCAGCTGAAATGCCAAATAAAGTGTTTTGCTGCTTGTTGTGGCCTTTTATTTCCATCCATTTGATTATAAATACTTAATTGGTGCTAATTAAGTACTTCAAAGCTTGGGTGAAAGTTTTTAGAGAAATGCACATTTTTCATAATACTTCAACAGAAAAATGATGACAAAACCACCAGACACTGACAAGTAAACCAAAAAAGGAAAAAAACGCAAACAAGCAAATGTATCTTCTGCTCTACTTTAGAACACTGATACAACTGAAGACAGTATAATTTTTACATTGCAGCAGACATATCCTTAAGCAGCTGTCTCTGCTCTGAATTCACTGTTGATTTAGAGCCTGAACTTTAACCATGTCTGACTCCATGTAAGCGGAAAGCAGTTCTATGGGTGTTGCACATGTATCTTGCTGTTAGCATTGTCATCATTAATGTACCTCCGCACTCAGGTCCAATCAGGTTATCCTAAATCCATCACTGTATTAAAGACAAGAGGAACCAAAATGGGTTTCTATCCTGTTTCGGTACCTTACAATTATTAGATTAGCCCTTTAGTGGGTAATCAGGTAAATGCCTGACATTAAAATAGTAAATACAAGGCCATAAACTAAAGAAACCCTGAGGCTACTTTAAATAGTTCAGTTCCTTCTCAGAGATCACAGTTATCTCAGCTGTCTACAAATTAGCACAAAGGAGAAGGAATTTGCCCTAGTAATTTCTTCACTTTACCTGGTTGCTGAATATAAAACTCCTTATCGAGGCTTCAGCTATCTGCTTCAGCCAGACTTAAGGCTAAAGTTTACAGCCATCATGGACCAAAGTAGACCTTCCTTATTGTCTCTGCTACAGATTTCATCAGATGACAAGCATGTTATCCTACTTGACAGAAGTAATTTATACTAAATAAAGCTATTACATTTACTTGTAAAATTCACTTCATTCCGATTTTTTCTTCCCTCTCCTAAACTCTAGTCCAGTAATTTTAAATGAACAAATCCTTAAAGACATCAATGTAAGTAGGTATTGCTAGGCAATCTTTCTTCTGAAAATGGAATAAAGTGTTTGTGATGGAGATAAATTCATTTTCAATTGAATTTATATACTTTAAGCATAGGTTTGAAGAATGCTGAGTCTAAAAAAATGTTAGTCTACAAACTTCAGTCTGTGAATAATGATGCAAGCCCAGCAAAGCTAGTTAATTTTTTTACACTGTATGCAGCAATGATAATAGAAAGGAGGTCCATCACATACTGTACCAGATTCTATGTTGCAGAGTCCTTGGGCGTACCATATTCATTAGAACTTTGGCACAATTTAAATTTTAATTCTATTTAAATAGAATTTAATGCAAGTTGGGAAGTGAATGAACAACTTCAAACATATCTGACTGCTACATGCAGATGTGTCATACACTTCCTATTAGGTGAAAACCAGAAAGTCTCCACAAGAACTCAGAGTTTTTCATAACATTCTGTGGCTCATAATTACATTTAGCGTTCACCTTCATAATATTTAGCATTCATCTTCATAATACTTATTAGTGATAAAAAAATCTAATGTATTTCCTCTTTACCTCACCTTTTTCCATAGTAACTACATCTTAGCAATGGTTTGGTGAAACTAAAGCTACTGCTCTTCTTATTAATCCCTATCTTTCCTTATGAATAATCACAATTTTATTTCCATTTCTATGTAAGTTAACACCAGCTGCTCATATTCAACTTTAACATGAACAGGATATACAGGCATACAACACAGAAAAACAGATTTCTTCATACTATTACATGACTGCTTAAAAATATATTTACATGTCAGCAAAATCACTGTTTGGTTTTGTTTGGGTTTTTTTCATAAAAAGAGAAAAATTGATTTAATCTATTGGGATTTAATCTATGGCTTGTGGGGAACGTCTATATTCTGTATGTTTTACATGTGGTTCGCCTAGGTATGGAAAATTTTCATTACTGTATTCTCCCTTCCCCTTGTTTAAATAACTTTATATCACTCAGAAAAGAAGTAGCCATTTCTTTCAAGAAGGCTGTTTAAACACTATTATAATAAAAAAAGACATTCGTCACCTTTTTTCCATTGAAAAAAATCATGTTAATGCTTGATTATGCAAGTTTAGTTTTGTAAAGTACCAGGTCACGTGAACCTTGACAGATATAAAAAGCACCTGGGAGAACTGTCCATTACTGAAGGGCAAGTTTTATACTGATGTGTCGGTATTCAGATCTCAGGTTCGGAAAACGCATTTGGAGTTGTGCTGTCTGCTCCAGAAGTACCAAATAGCATTATAAGGTTTTCCCAAATTCATTTTTGGGAGCAATTTGGATGGCAATTTTGTTATGTGATAAGATGTCCATCACTAAATTCTCCTAAACACGCATACAGACACCCCTCCCAAGCACACATACACACACGCACATTGATTTCACAAGTCTCCTTTTCTTTAAGCAAGTAGTCACAACACTGAAAATATTCTCCTATGTGTTCACTGATTATTCTTAAATTATTTGTCACCACTTTGCCACTCAAAGGAGATGGTTATTTCATTCTTCTGAGAAGCTAACTATGTTCAAAAGCAGCTAGATGAGGATGGTGGTGTGATATAAATTCCAATAGAAAAATGCATTGTCCATCCATATAGCCGTCCATCCTGAGAAACTTCCACTGACAAATTCTTGCTGTTTTCCATCAGTCATGGAGTTCCCATCAATAAATAAAAGGTCAGTGCAACAATGAGGAGCAAGCAGAATGGAGAAGAGAAGGTCTGATAGGCAGCTGATGGCATGAAAATATCTTCATACTTGTAAATACTGACAACGTGCTCTGATACAGGTGGTGAGTCTATATCATGACGGGTTATAGAACCTTTAACAGGTAAGGGCAGAAAGAAATAACATCAGATGCATTTTTTCTATAACTCTAACAAAGAAACAGGTAGACAGCCAAGTAATTCTCAAACCCAAAGCATGCAATATTACAGTGAGCAGGGTCATTTATATGTTTTCAGAAATTAAACATCTGAATAAAACAAATGAAATTCAACTAAACGATAAACATCGTTCAAAGGAATTCAGAATTTCTAGTTATGAAGTTCTTTTAAATTTAGCTTTGGGGAATGGGGGTAATAACTATATAGTCAAGAAAACATGACATGTAGGACTCTGTTACTTACCTTGTCTTCCTTTTTATCTATTTTCAAGCCTCATGGTGCCAGAATTTTAGTTAATTAACATAAAGGGGATCTAGTAAGAATAATGTAACTAAAAGACATTTATCAGTTTTGGCACCTCAGTGCTGCCAGTAACACAGAAATCAACTTACCTTGAATTGCTGGACCCCAAGCAAACAGATAGTACCAACTCAAGTGCAGATCTACAATGGTTTCCTCTCGGGGAACATACACCGGACGCTTGAATCGACATGTCACACGATTGTTTTCAAAAACCCCTTCTTCATCTCTAGCAGGATTCCTCTGGATTTCTTTAGCCCACTGACCGACATTATAGAAGTGCTGTATTCGGACTCTTCCATTATCATCATGAACACAAGCCATGACATCATCTCCTCCCTACATGGTACGTATTGGTAGAAGAAAAACAGAAGTGTCACAAAGCATTTCCTCATATACATACATAATTTTAATTATTTAAAACTCATCAAGACCTGGGGCTCTCATTCCAAGTTATATTACACCAATACTTGTTTCCTGAACCATGGGTCTTTGGTCAGATTGAAAGACACAAAGTGAATAGTAATACTTACTTACCCTTACTATCCAGGTATCAGTGCCATATTAAATACAGGCCCTACTTCTCCAATATTAATCTTTCTAATGTGTCATGCTGATGATAGATATGATGCTTGCTAGTGTGATCATCTCTCAGTTCTTTTGTATCGGGAAAGGAGAGGAAAAGGGTGTATTTCATCAATTTGGGAATATTTCTATGTGGATTTGTGAAAGATGTGCCAAAAGTGAAGGAAAAAGGGGACAAATAGTTAAAACACATGCTCAAACATTTTCTGCACCTCAATCTTTCTAGCTTCTGTCTGGAGCCTATCCTTACCCTCCATAACTTTCTCAGGTTTAAGCTTTATACATCTGAGCAGAAATCCTTCATTCTTAAGTACAAAGAGGAAAAAATAAATCTGTTTTCAATAGGAAAAAAAAAAAAAAAAAAACTAAAAGGCAAGAAAAAAGTATTCTGAATCTCAGCTAACAGAATGACATTACAAAATCCTGCCTGGGCACAAAATCCTGCAAGTGGAAAAGCATAACGTTATCTGAGACAAAGAAATAAATCTATTAAGGACACAAAATAGGGTTTTTTTCCTGAATTCCTGTAGCTATCCAGGCCACACCATTTTGATTAGGGCCTCCAAAGCACAGCCCACTTCCCACAGCTTTTGACCCAGTGTCATTTTACCATTAAAGCCTGCACATCCGAGGATACCAAACCATCCTGGAAATTATGAAAAAGGATGAAGTCAGCAGGGCGAAAAGACAGGAAGACAGATGCTAGTTGTTTTAGTCCAGCTGACTGATGGGCATTAGACCACATAGGCAGCAAATTTGGAAGCAAAACCTTTTACTTTACACTTACTTTATTCTTCTTACCAGAAGCTGAGACTTAACATACTGGTTGTTGTGCCTGGGACAAAAGGAAATACCTGCTTTCCAAGTGGCTGGTGAGATGCAGGCAGTGAGAACCTGGATCTGCTGCAGGTGTTACCAGTTACAAACTGGTTACACAATCTCTGATGGCATGGGGAAAAATACTTAAAGGTGTTGAGCTGCTTTGAAAACCCTGTTGTGTACTTGCATTTCCAGGCATCTGAAATCTTCCCAAAATTTGGCTGTAAAACTGTTCCTCACGACATTAAAAACATGAACTGCTTCTTGCGACATGAATCGTTCTTCATGACACAATAGGCTTCTACCTTTATTTTGCTTATTTACAGTCTCATAATAAAACATATATTGTAAGGACTGAAAAGCACCTGCCCTCACAGTGTTTTTCTGACTACTGCTTACAACTGTGCAAGAAACAGTCCTGTCCTCTGACTTGTGATTTAGGACATAGACTCAATATTGTTTTATATACTCAGTAGTGTTTCTGTATATGAGCACCTACATTATGAACTGCATTTTAATTCTAAATATTTTACCAAGGATCATAGACAAAACATCTTTGCCTAAGTTGTCTATTGCTCACATTGTTAAAGTTCAGACAGTACAAGCTTCTGTTTTGCTTACTGAAACACAAAGAAAAGTGAAGCTTTTGAATGACCAAGTAAGTACAGGAATAAGCATAAAACCAACCCACATAAAATTCAGGAGAGACAAAAGAGATTTTAACAAGACTGTTTTCTAGAGTACCTATGTTTAAATTAGCAGGAATCATTTTGTGACACATTTGTAGCTTCCCTGGAACAACACACAGGTAAACAAAAGAAACAAAAAAAAAACAAAGAAACAAAATGATTTTTCCAGAGCTTAACAAGCAAAAGTCACATTTATACCACTGAAAGTTCCCTGATGTACTGAAGAACAAAATTATTTGCTATTTAGTTTCTGATGTGCCTTTTGTCCAAGTAACACTGATATAAAGCCGGACAGGTTATTTCCACATGAAATAGTTTATCCCTGGGGACTTTTCTAATAAAAAGGTAAAAATCGAGTAACATTCAGACATCCATAGCTGAACTGAAATACTGAGCAGCACTACTGAATGTTGTACTTCTCAGAGAAGAGGGAAAGGACATTTTAGGAAGCATGTGGCAATTTTCTGGGAAGCAGTAGGCCTGGCTTCTGCTCCCAGGGTGTCTACCAAACAGTGCTTTGTTTTCAGTAAGTCTATTTTTCTTTATATGCTCTGTTTCTAACAGATCAAATAAAAACCATTTATATCCTAGCAAATAAAAGCATGCACACTGTCAACAGCAAGAACTGTACACATCTTACCATTTTCTTGTCTGAAGAAAATCCCACCGCAACCCAGCCATCAGTATCAGCACTCAACTCAAATTCAACATCAGCTCCTATTCTACGGTAACTTAGAAAGTAATCACAAGTCTCCGCATTGCATCCAGGTTTACCATACCTAAACAGAATTGGAAATACATGTCACTTTTCCTCACAATTTTCTGCTATGGAATTTAATTACACTTGTGTAAGAAAATAAAAGAATGCATTCTGGTATAATGGCAGTAAAACATGTTATATTATGCTAAACACAAAGTACCATTAATTGTTTGCAATTTTTACTCCTTTATTGTAAGACTGTGTAGTATTTAAACAGCATGGCAAGCCATTAGTTACAGGCTCTATTACTCTGTTGACCTTCCTAGCCCCAGTTTTGTAAGTGCTTCATGAAAACACAAGAAACATGTAACAGCTGTAGGTCCATAAGTATGATGTATATCCTTAAATAATAGAGTTTCCTCAAATAATATCGTCTATTTCTACAAAGTATGCTCTTAAGTAATAAACATTTATTAAAATTAAGATGGAACATTTACCAAAGTCTCCAATGCAATCGGTCAGCATTTGCACACACAAAGGTATCCGCACTCTGATCATAGAATCTCAGACTGACCTGAAGCATCCCTTGGTTTTTCCACAGTCATCTACTCTGATCTTTGCAAATGGATCCACAGGAGGAGCAGTAGGGAAAGGGTAACCTGCATAATCAGAATAAATCATTGCTAAATAAAATGAAAGGAACAAAAAGTAATAATACTAAAGAGAAAGGCTTTCAACAGCATTTACTTTGTCTGCTGAACACTGAACTGTTCAGATGAGGGACCATTTTGTCACATGCACAGTCCTTAGCTCAGATGGCCCTGGATCCAGGTACCAAAGTAACACTGATAACTGAAAATAAAAATTTTTCTCAGATTTCCTACATTCGTCAAGAAGGGACAAGGATGCTAAAGCATGGCTTTGCTACAGTTAAGGAAGCAGAAACAGAGTAGTGCAGTCAACTAACAATGAGGGATCTCCAATCTGCTTTTTGTGCACCCTTAGTCATTGAATCATAGAATCAACTAGGTTGTAAAAGACCTTTAAGATCTCCAAGTCCAACCAAAAGCAGACCTTTAAGATCACCAAGATCATTAAGTCCCCCTAGGAAATCCATAATGGCACTCAATCTGAGGCCTTAGCCATAAAATGACAGTATTAAGTATAAATGCAAGGGACCAGAGTCAGAGCTGTAGGAATGGATACTGAAATGACCTTACAACACATCTTCCACTAGGAAGTAAAATCAAACACACACTGCAATAAAAGGTAAAGGAGTATCAAAACTGGGAATTGCCTGCCACTGCTTGTGAAGGAAGACGCAGAAAAAACAGACAATCAGAGCTATTATTCCAAGCAATCCCCTGTCTGATGTATAATAGTAGGCCAAAGAGAAAGCGTTGAACATTTGCAAACAGACCTTTTCTGTCTTGGCCTGTAGAAGGTTGTCTGTTGCATGAGCAGAGGTATTTTAACAGGATGTTCTTTTACTTAGCCAACTGAAAACCAAAATCCTAGTTGTGAAACTAGAAAGTCCTCTGAAAGTGTTTCACTAAATAGGGAATAAATACTGTGGTTAGCTACAGCATCTACAAACAAACATTTAAACTACAGTTTTAGGCATTTGGGAGCCTTGATTCGCTTTCCTAGATTTCTGACAATGCCAATGGAGACAGAAAGTATGCTGTAAATTACAGCCTCCATGAACTGCATCAGGGGCCTGGGAAAATTATGCAGCATAAATATATTAAGTTGTCAAAATTTTGCAGCAGCCTGTAGCGGAGCATCACTGAAAGCATAGCCACAGGACATTTTACCTTCTCACTTCTTTGTCAGATACATTGAACAATTGGTTTTCAGTGCAGCACAACCACAAAACTGGAGTTTTAGGACTCTGCCATTTGCAAATTCAAAAGAAACCCACCACAAAACCCACGACTACCGCGTTTGCTGTCACTCAGGACATCACACAGCATTCTGAACCCACAGAACCCAGGACTCCTCTCAGCTAAGCAGCCCGGAAAGCTTTTCAGGAGGGGGTTTGCACCCCGAAAGGCGAGACCTTGCCGGCTGGCCCCGCACAGCGGAAAGCAGAAAGAACCTGGCCCCCAGTCGCCGGCCCCCAGACCCCAGTCCCGGGCCGCCTCCCGTGCTCCTGCCACAGCCCCGCAGCCCGCGGCTCTGCCGCCCGGCCTGAACTGCCCAGCACCCGCCCGGGGAGACAAGATGCCCGGGCCCGGGGGTGCCGCTGCGCCGCAGCCCGGGGGGGAGCGAGCCACTAGCCCTGCGGAGGACCCGGCCGTAGGGTAAGGCACCCAGGTCTGCTCTCCGGTGCCGTTCTTGGACCCGGTGCCCGAGCGGCAGGGCTGACGGCCGACCGGGCGGAAGATGGCGGCGGGCGCTGGCCTTCGTGCTGAACAACGTGCCGCCACCACTACTCGCCCCAGCCCGGCCTTCCCTCCCCGCGCCGGGCTCGCCCGCCCGCCGCCTGCCCCCGCCCGCCGCACCTTCTTCGGAGAGGTAGCGCAGGTCGTAGAACTCGCTAGCGAAGGTGCCGTACGAGGAGTCGTGATGAGACCGCGCCGCCTCCTCGCCGTGCTCCCCGCCGCCCGCCTCCCGCCGCCCGCCGCCCTCCTCCGCCGGGCTGGCGGCAGAGCCGGCCAGGAGCAGCAGCAGCAACAACCGCCGCCAAGCGCCGCGGCTCCGCACCGCCATGGCGGTGGCGGCGGCGACGGCGGCGGGGAGGCGACGGCCGAGCGCGCTTCCTGCGCGGCCGCCCGGGGGCTGCTGCGCGGCTGCCGGCGGCGGAGCGGAGTGGAGAGGAGTGGAGAGGAGCGGGGGAGGCGGCGCGGGGAGCCGGCCCCGGGGACGGGCGGTGCCGGAGGGACTGCGGGGTGCGAGAGGGGACGGAGCGGGAGGGTGTTTGGGGATGAGGTAGCGGAGCAGTGCGTGGGGGCTGTGGTGAGGGTCGTCCCCAGCCCCGTCCCGGGCAGAGCCGTGGCAGCACTGAGCCCTCCCGCTGGGACCACCGCCAAAGGGATGCGCGGTGGCCTGCCCCGCTTGCGGCTTCCCGCGACCCCCGGCCCCAGCCCCACGCAGGGTCCACCCCACAGCTGACAGCCCACAGATACAGCTCACAGATACAGTTCACAGCCCACAGCTCACAGGTCACAGCTCACACCCCGTAGCTCACAGGCTGTAGCCCACAGTTCACAGCCCATAGCTCACAGCCCACAGCTCACACCACATAGCCCATACCTCACAGGTCACAGCTCACAGCCCACAGCCCATAACACACAGTTCACAGTTCACAGCTCACAGCTGTAGCCCACAGCTACAGCCCGCAGTTCACAGCCCATATCTGACAGTCCACAGCTCACACCCCATAGCTCACCCCCATAGACCACAGCTCACAGCCCACCTCGCAGCAAGCCGCCATTGAGATGCCTTCTCCCTCCCCCAGGCTTGTGCACATCTCCCAAGGGCTGCACAGGCCCTCCACAGCCACCCCCATGGCCTCAATTCACCAAAATGTCTCAACATGAGCTTCAAGAGGACGTGGCAAACCCTGCTTCGTAATTGCTGGGAGAATGTCTCTCATCTCTTTATTTTTAATGACTTCTGAGATGGGACTGGAGGCACAGCGCAACTTACCATTCGTTTCAGGTAAAACCCCATGCTAGTGAGCATTTGCTATCTGGTGGTGCGTTCTTGCTTTCGTATTTTATGCAATGTAACCACAGCGATGCAGATATGCTGAAAACCTGGCAGAAGTGAAGGAAACCCCTTCTTGGGCTCCCTAAGCTTGCTTGGGCTTTTGTAATTGACACTGGATTTGCGGCAGGTCATTAAGGATAGGTTTGTGTTCTTGCTGTGCCGTGGTATCTATGGGATGATGCTGGAAAAGTGACATTTCATCCCCCATCTTCACCAGAATGGCTTTTCTCTTGGGTTTGGGTTGGTCTTCCAGTTATAATTTCTTTTTTTATGTTGTTCTGCATGGTTACAATCCCTCCTCTGAGAGCCCGGTAGAAAATTGAGCAAAACATCAGGGGGGAGGGAGGGAGAGATAAGACACAGCAGTCAGCAATATTCTGAAAAATGAAAGAACCCTCAGTTTAAATATTTTCTTTTTTAGTATCAATGACTGAACTGAGTTACTTTTTGATGGGGCAATGTGCCTGCCCAAAACCTAGGCTGCTAGGGAGAATTTCATTCCCTTGGGCTGAGTGCTACACTGCAGTGTGCTCAGCTCCGTCAAGTGGAGTACATTTATTCGCATCTCCACACCAGTCTGGCAGAGTAGCATGCTCTCTGTCCCTGCAAAGAGAGGAACAGCCACACTGAGGTAAAAAGTAAGTTGTAAAAGAAATTCTGATTGCATGCAATTCCAATGTCGTCTATAGAAGTGTATGGAAAAAGCGGAGGGAGAGCAACACCAAGCTCAAGTACAAAATAATGAGCCCCTTCTTCCCACCTCGCTGAGCTTGCTAAACTTTGCCAAGACAGTGGAAAACAAGCAAACAAATGGAAATAGAAAAAGCCTTATAAATCAGGCTAAGGGGAAAATAAGGCTGCAGCTTATTCTTTCTGGCAATAATCAACTCTGATGAAGGCCCCCTGTCTCCTTTTTGAAATAGCTAGCCCAGGGTGGCAGTGCCTGTGAAGAAGCATTTGCTCAGCAAGGGAACAGCTGTCAGCTGCATGCTGGTTTTCCTCCCTGGAAAAAGGCTCTAGCGCACTGCAATACAGGCAGTGCTTTGCAGTCATAGTAAACACTTAGGATATTTATTGTGAGTTGTTTGTACCTCCATGACACCTATCGGTTTGAATCTGACAGCTAAGATAACTATGATTTACAGTGGAGCTGTGCTGGTTTTCTAAGGTGAAGACATAGATTCATAGAATCATAGAACAGTTAGGGTTGGAAACGACCTTAACATCATCTAGTTCAAACTCCCCTGCCATGGGGACACCTCACACTAAACCATGTCACCCATGGCTCTGTCCAACCTGGCCTTGAAGACCGCCAGGGATGGAGATTCACAACTTCCTTGGGCAACCCATTCCAGTGCCTCACCACCCTCACAGTAAAGAACTTCTTCCTTATATCCAATCTAAACTTCCTCTGTTTAAGTCTGAACCCGTTACCCCTTGTCCTATCACTACAGTCTCTAATGAATAGTCCATTCCCAGCATCCCTATAGCCCCCCTTCAGATACCGGAAGGCTGCTATGAGGTCTCCACGCAGACTTCTCTTCTCCAACAGCCCCAACTTTCTCAGCCCAAGATGGGAGACTGACATAGCTGAGAGACTGACCCCATTGCCTGTGCCTCCCTCTTAATAAATCCTTAAAAATTAAAATACTCCTGACACACTTTTTTTCTTAGTAGAACTTCCTGTGTTTGCTTGAAGGTTGTCCCTATCACAAAAATGGGTTGCTTACAGGAAACAATCTCAATCTCACATTGAAACTGGTGGAGCACTAATGAGTACCTTCAATTTTCAGCAGACAGAAAGGGCTACACTGCAACTAACAGCACTGACTGTTCACAGCAGTTCTGTAGGGAAGATCCTTATCTGATCAAATAATTAAGGCTGTCATCAAAAAACCTTTAGCAGAAGGAGTCCAAACTGCTGTTGCATGAGCAGCCTTAGTCCTCAAATACCTAAACTTTCTGAATGCCAGATTTCACAGCTTGCACGTGCTGGTGATGCCTTTCTTAGAACATATGCATGCCATGTGTGAACAGCAGGTTGGAAGGCGTTACCGTACTCTGACAGCAGAAGTCACAGAGACACAGAATGGTCTGTCTTGGAAGGGACCTTAAAGATCATCCATTTCCAGCCACCCTGCCATGGGCAGGGACACCTTCCACTAGACCAGGTTGCTCAAAGATGCATCCAACACGACCTTGAACACTTCCAGGGATCATGCATGCACTTCTCTAGGCAACCTCACAGTGTTCAGTGCCTCACCACCCTCACAGTAAATAATTTCTTCCTAATATCTAATTTAAATCTACCCTCTTTCAGGGTCAGGGTAGATTTACTGTTACTCCTTGTCTGATCACTACTGGCTCTTATGAAAAGTCCTTCTCTCAAGAGTCCTCTTGATTTGGCTGAATTAGAGATGAAGTAATTTCTGTTGATTCTTGCACCATCATCTGCTACCTCAGGGGTATCCAGCAGTCAAATTCCTTGCATGATCAATTGCCCTAGTTTGGGCAATTCTCTGGTGTTAGCAGTCTAGAGGTGTTTTCCTAGGGCTGGAGACTGGGATTATCCCCAGCCATCCCTTGAGGCCTATCCTGCCTTTTGTCTTGGCTCTGTCTCTCAAAGTACACCTTTTCCCTGGAGGCTTATTCTTTTCAGGGCATCTGAACTAAAAATTAAAGCTTTGGGAATAAGCCATAGTTTACATAACATTAAGGGAAAAATGATGTCTCAGTCTCTGGTTGCATTATTCAGGAGTGACTGCAGCTCCTGTACTGGTGGGAGAGAGGGTAAAACCTCACTAGTCACATAAAAGCATGGCCTGACCAATGAAGAGAGAAGTGGGGAATGGCCAGTGATGTTGGCAGACCATTAGGCTACATAAACCCCTCATACAATGTCTTCTGTGCCCACTCCTCCTTTGGGACCACTCATGTCAAACGCATTCATCACAGTCCCCTCCTGCTATGGCCCGTTAGGCTGGATCCTGCCCAATCCAGTTGTTTTTCTGCTCCTGTGCATGATTTACTGTGATTTCACCTCTTAAAAGAGGCTCAACTTCCTTGCTCAGCTTTTTCATAAGTTATTGCTGTTCCCAGGTCACCCCAAAAAGCTGAAGCTGGTTAAGTTCATACCACCCTGCCTCTTCCCAGTACTTCTTCAGTATGTCCACACCTCAAGAACTGCACCTTTAAGTTTAGTGCTCCTGGTTATTTCCATCACATCAATGAGTATTAAAAAAAATCAGTTCATATCCACCAGTGCCAAGTAACAAAATGACTACTGACACAGCAGTTTTCTTACAATAACTCTGCAGTAACCTGAACCAGAATTTGTAATTCATACACAGTTTTCTCAAACCCTTACCACAATATTGTTCAATGTGGTAAATGTATCTACCAGCAATTTATCTTGGGCTTTCATTTATTAAACAATAATAAAAATTGTAGAAATCGAGAAATCACCCTGATTTCATTAATAGTCATTCATTCCATGCTGTATTTAACTACCTGTGACTCTATGGAAACATGCTTCCTGTGTTAGTTACTTGGACTAAGATATGGGAGAAAATATGCTAGGAATTTCCTGCAAACAGAGCTTTTAAACTATGTGCAAAACTGATTGACAAAGGAAAAAATGTCAAATGCCAAATCATTAAGAATATCTCATGTGAGAAAAGTAAAAACTAAGAAAACCCAAAACACTATGGAGGAAAAAGATGAAAGCTACTCACAACAAAGATGAGTGAACTTTTTGGAGGCATGGTACTGCTTTGGGTCTTCTGGAGAAAGGCAAGAAAATAGAAACTCTAAATATGTTATCATCCAAATAAAAAATGCATTAAATCATTAGATCATCTCTTTCTCAGCACTGGTAAATCTTTCTGCTGCCATTGAGCTGTGTATCTGGTCTTGCTCCAAGGGCAATCATGCCTCTGCTGCCAATACTGCTCACAACAGCACTCTTTCTATAAAATTAATCTAATGTAGGAAAATAAGAGATGTCTCCAAGCTCTTTTCCACAAGTGGAACATGCACCAATCTAAAGCCGAAGTCCAGCAGTCTTAGACAGTAAATCAGCATGACTTTTTGCTTCAGTAAGCACTATGGACACTTCCCAAAGTATACTTACACTGTGCAGCTTTTATTTTTGTGTTGCTTTACATCAGGCAGCTTATGCCTTTCCTTCCAAGATTGTGGTTTTTTTTTTTACCTGTTTGGCACTCTTTGCTTCCTCAGCGTGAATGCAGTGCTGGGAGGTGAGGCTACCCTGAAAGCCAGATCTGCCAGATGGTGGCACAATGTGCACCAGCAGGGTCTGGAGCAAAACTTTTCCCATTTAAAAAAAAGTCCTTGTTACAAAGAAGTTATTTATAGTGTTATTCCAATAAGGAGCCAAAACAGAGCAGCCTTTTATTAGAACTCACAATAGAAGGCATTGCATTGAGGCCTCCCTGTGCATAAGTACCATTTACTTTTGTGGAAAAATTGGCCCTGAGAGCTGCAAAATTCAGCTCGCATTAGCAAAGAGCTTATTTAGGTAAGAATGTTTTAAAGAGTTTAAGCAGTACTAGCAGAATTCAATTAATTTCTTGTGTTACAATGTCATTTCATCCTAATTAGTTAAGAGCCCAGAAATAATAAAAGGGAAAAAAAAAAAAAAGAGCAAAACCCTGTTCCCTCATGAGACTCCATCTGAAGAGTTATGATAAAAGTTCTGTAAGTTTGCCTTCTGGAAAGCAGTCAGCTAAAACAGACTTTTCTCAGCCCTAACTCAGACACCTCTGAGTCCAAATAATTATTAGGATTATTATAATAATATTAATTATAATTATGATAATGATTATTATAATGATATTAATGATAATCATCAAATGTTTTTGGTTGGTGGGGACCTTAAAAATCATCCAGTTCCAACACCTGACCACAGGCAGGGACACCTCTCTCTA